AGTGATTTCATTGTAGGAGTTTTTTATTTGCTGATTATGCATTGAATCCAAGTTAGAAGAGCACAGAGCCTGTACATTCTCAACTTAATGTGCTTTTTTTATGACTGAAGCCTTTATCCTATTTGAATTGAATTCTTTATAGCAACATCTCAAAAGAAAGTTGTCTTGGACTTGTGGATCCCTGAGACTCACTAGCAAGCTAGCATAGCACCAGACCAATGGGAAACCATAAAAAAAAAGATAATGACTAAGGGATGACAGCCAAAGTTGTCCCTTAGTCTCTACACACAGCCATATACACATGCATATACCTGCCCACATGTTTGACCCTGCATACACTTGAACATGAACACATATAAATATATGCACATATCCAAAGCAAAGGGGAAAAGACTAAAAATTTTGTAGGGCATGGGAAAATGATATAATGCAATAGGTGGGGCAGAACTAAGCCTGGACCAGAATGCATGAGCCAAGGGATGAAGAAAACACAGTTGCTGACAGAAGGAATTCAGAACTCAGTCCAAGGAGCCAGATGTGCTGAATAGACTGTTGCAGCAAACCAAACAGATGATGGAGCAGCCATGAGCAGATGGGACTTCCCAACCCATCCAGGTACACAACAGAGTGGGAGGGAAAAAGTGCTTGGACACCTTGAAACCTGGTCTTGGGCGAAGCTCAACAGACATAAAGCTCATGTTTGGGCCTTTCCAAGAAAATCTCATTTTCCTTGGACTGTAATCTCCAGCTCTCACCATTCTTACAGAGCTAGCAGCCACAGCCACCATTTCTCATACAATTACTGGATTTTGAAAAATCAAAAGAAAATGTACAATATTGTTGATACCATAGTATTATAAATACCCAGAGACTGTGCCGTTTCTCTAAGCATTGCAAGCTCTGCAGAGAACTTGGAATGATGTCATACAGTTCTCGGAATAATCCTAGCTCCACTCCCCCTGGCTGATGTGTGGCCATTTGACATCATCACTTGAAAGAAAATAGAACCATAAGCTCCCTTGTAGTCATTGTACTTTGTTCCAAAGAGGATCAAGACATCAATTAAAACCTTTTGTCTGCAAATAGGAACTCGAAATAAGAGAAAATGATGCCTTTGTACTCTCTGTGAAGATCCGCCACCCGTGTGACTCTCATTTCACAGTATAAGTGAAAAGAATACGGGAAAATTATGGCATCTCATTCAGAAACTTAACTTCCTTTAAGAAGCATGACTCAGGATCAAGACAATTTTAGATGTTTTGTGGTTCAACCTCTACTAATCAAATGTATAACAGCTAATGTTCATTAATAACATTGCCTGTGAGGCAAGCGCTAGTCTTAGCAATTATACCCCACTTACTTATAACAAAACCCCTATTCCTCCTTATTAGAAATAGAGGAAACTAAGGCACAAAGATACTGGTCTACACAGTAACATTGTAAGTGGCAAAACTGTCCTGCAGGTGTGATTTGTGGCTCTCACTGTGACAATTGTAACTCACTTATATCATTGTATGATGGGCATAATGAATCACCATTTGGTTCCTAAATGTTAATGCTACAACTGAATATTATTATGGTATAGAAAATTTCACTTAGAGATTGATGTAAACTGTGCATTGTCCATTCATACATCCTTAACTCTCTCTGTCTCTCTCTCTCTGTCTGTGTGTGTGTGTGTGTGTGTGTTGTCAGGTGCTCATGCACCTGTGTGTCCTTGCACGTGGAGGCCAGAGATCAACATCCAATGTCTTCAACTGCTCTCCACTTTATGTTTAACTAAAGGGTCTCTCCCTGAACCTGAAGCTCACGTATTCAGCTAGAACGTCTAGCAGAGAGCCTTTTTCCACATCCCAGCACTGGTATTACAGATGTGCTTCCCTATGCCCAGCTTTTATACAGATGCCAGGGATCAAACGCATGTCCTCCGGCTTATGGGTCTTCCCAGAGTCTCATTGAAAATTTAAAGACAACATTCCTTTTCTTTTTTCAGCTTCACTTTTAAAGTTTATTTGTGTGTGTGTGTGTGCGTGTGTGTGCGCGCGCACACACACACACACACACACTCGAGTGCATATGTGGCATATACCACAATACACACATGGAGATCAGAAGACAACTTTGTGAAATCGGTTCTCTGTCTGCTTTTCATGAGTTCCAGGGCTCACACTCACGTCTCTGAGGATTCCCAGGCAAGTGCTTTTACCTCTTAAACTGTCTTTCTGGCTCTTGCTTTCCTTGTGAGGCAGGGCTTTCCTCTGTAGCCCACGCTGATGCTGAGGCTGGGCAGCTCTTATGTAAACTTCCCCAGCACCAGGATAAATGGAAGCTGCTTCTGGATGTGATTTTCCCCCCTAGTGCTGGTGACCCAGCCGAGGTCCTTGAACATGCCAGGAGAATGCTCTCCTCCTCAGAGCACTATCTCCAGTCTCTGATGTTCATTTGACCACTGTCTGCTTTGAAGGAGCCAGATCTGAGCTGCTGCCTGATTGCTCTTCTTTCTCAGGTAAGCAGTCTTCACAAAACAAACAAGCAAAACATAATACAAGACAAAGGAATCTGTTTCCACACCCTGTTTCTGAGACCAAGTCTTCCAGGAATGGACTTTGCATGCCAGCTTTTAGGGCGCTGCACTACGGGTATGTGTAGGAGCAAATCCCGCTGTGGCACGTGGACCCACGGCTGAGGCAGTCAGGGTGGGTTCAGCCGAAGCCATCCCATGTGCCACCCTCTCTGTCCCTGACAGTCATTCCTGGCTGCGCTCCTGTCACCAGGAGTGGTTCTATCCTGTCTGCTGAGTGTGCGAAAGATGGGCGGACTTCGTGTCTCTTCCTGAAAGCACATCTGTCATGGATTTCCAGTCTGTGGACGCTTGGAGTTTCATGCTTTCCCTTCCGGGTCCATTCACTCTTGTTCTTTCATCTTATAATTTCACAATAGTCTTGGGTGACTCAGTGTCACACAAACAAGCACCCAAACTTCCACAGACGTTGGGGTTCACTTTGGGTTCACCCAAGACTGATCTGTTTCAAATGCCGCCCGTCCCCAACATTTACTAGCAGTTTCACTGACACGTCTACTTTATAACACCCTAACTGTCATAGACCCCAGCCTTCAAATCCTTTGTGTTGTCAGCATTAGAACAAAACTGCCACATTTCTGTTCATTCTGGAGACAAAGCTGTAATAATCTACTGTTACATTTCATTGGCTGTCCTCACGCTGTCAAAATGTTTGCAGTGACTATCAGAACAGGCCAAATTTATCTGGGGCAGCGGGCATCAGACACACTGGACTCTTCCAGAGAAATGGGATTAGATGACTAGTACATATACAAAGATTAAAAGAATGAAATGCAGTGTGCCCAGTGTTACTAAACATGATAGATTTTCTTACACAGAAACCATTGGCATTTATTTAGGTAGAATCTGCATACTTACACAAAGCAGTGCCAAGCAGATTTTCAAAGTAAATATCTTTTTTAAATTAATTTTATTTTTAATTCTCCCTCTCTGAGTGTGTGTGTGTGTGTGCACCCACACGCGAGTGTGCATGCGCACATGAGTGCACACATGTGTGTATGTGTGTATACAGAGGCCAGGGGCATCAATCTTTCCAGAGCTAGAGTTACAGTAGGGTATAAGCTGCCTGACATGGAGGTGTAGAAAGGACTGTTGAGCCATCTCTGCAGCTACCACATCTGTTGTTACTCTGTGATAACTAAAGGTTAAAATCTGCACCAATAATAGTTCAGTATAATTGCTAGATTTCATGTTTTATTAACTTTGAGACTGAATTCCAAAAACATCATGTCTGCTTCCAATGAACACAGACACTCCAAGCACCCCCGAAAGAGCTTGTGGAGCCCTAAGATCACATGCTTAGCAAGCATAATGAAGCAGAAAGGATAGAGGTTTAAGTCTGTCTAAATTCCCCAGCACAAATGGCACTCTTCCTACCTGCATTTGAAACATAAATTTTATTTTGAAGTATGTTATTCATTATACAGAGTTGCAGGATTGCAAATTAATTAGCTAAGGCAAGGAGGGAGAAATTATTCAGTGTAGTTATCAGGTGGTTTGTTTTCTACATAGAATGAAAACAAAAATGTTAAAATTTGCTTTGCCTAGCAATACTCCAGGAGAGAACAAGAGGCGTGGGAAGTGGGTCCCTTCTCGTAGGGTTGTAGGCCAACATCAGGTTAGAAAGGGATGTGTCACTCAGAGGAAGTCAGAAGTGCACCCACACAAACTGGACACATTCATTTGCATTCTCCTAGTTCTATTTTCTTAACAAGTGCAAGGGCAGCTATTTACTGGGTGTTGATTTAATCATCTGGCTTTTCCCACTCATACAAATACATTTTGCTTCCTGGCAAACTGTATAAATTTCTAAGAAAAATGTGCAAAAATAAATTGTACTTTTTGGTGTTATTTTTGTGTGTGTGTATATCAACTTCAAATTAATTGTTATTATTTGTCCCAAAGAACTGAAAGATAATGCTACAAGCCATGAAGGTAAGCCTGAACCTGGGCATTTCCAAGTCTCTGATTTGACTATTAAATATATTGAGATGTGTGTGTGTGTGTGTACTTATGTGCATGTGTGCACATGACCATCCACATAGATAAACATGTATGCATTCAAGTCTGTGGAAACCACAAACTAATCCCATGCATCATTCTTCGTGGGACATCAACCATATATTTTGAGACGGGCTCCCACTGGGGCTGGCTGACTCACTGACTATGCTAGATGGATGGCCAGTGAGACCCAGAGAACTTCCCCAGCACTGGGATTACGAGTGAGCACCTGTACACCCAGCTTTTCACATGGGTGCCAGGGATCAAACTCAGGTCTTCATACATATGTGACTGATTCTTTGTTCACTGAGCTATCTCTCAGGCATGCTAGTAAGTATTTTTAAACAAGATTGTGTTTTTCATGTTATTATCCCTTGTGAACGGCCCAGACTCTGTGGTCCATCAGTTTAGCACATACCTCAAAGACCTGTTGTATCTTCACAAAATCCTCCACACAGAGCTGGTTTTCAAGGAAGCCCTTGCCATAGTCTTCACTCACAGTAACACCATCTCTTTTCTCAAGGAATATTGCCTGTGGCTGTGGCCCCATGTTTAATCCAAGGGCAGCATCAGGGTAACTCCTAATAACTTCACCCTTTCTCAGCATCCTTCAACTCTCTCTGTGTTTGTTTCTTTGGTTGCTGCTGGTTCCTTTAATAGGTACCTTTGAAAAGGAACCCAACTTAGAAGAGAATTTAAAATGAAAATTGCAACTCTATAATTAGGAGGCAAAATGTTTGAATAAAAATCTTTTGTCCCCCACCCAATAACGTTCTTGACTTCGAAGGCCACCTTCCAGCAAATGTGGAGATGTTTGTTTCCTCTTCCTTGGTGCTTTTGTGTGTTTCCTGGCAACCAACTGTGAGCCAGCTGACTTTCCTTTCCCTCCCTGAGCCTGACCAATGACTGAACTGAAGGTTTGAATGTTTAATGTAATTTTTAAGTTATGCTTTAGAAAAATAGTTCACCTTACTCATTTTTAATTAAGTTTGCCCTCTATTATTCAAAGGCAACTTTGAAAAATATATTTTCTATGAATCATGGCTATATGATTTGCCAAAGAAGAGGGCCTAACATTAAAAACTTTATACTTTCCACTCACAAAATATCTTATTTTTCATTTAATAAAGGTCTGCTCCTTGTTTTCCCTTTGGCAAAATTATCATGTACATATTTTAAGAATAACACAAAAAAAGGTTTCAATTCATTAAAACTGAAAGGGAAAGTGAAACGAATATCATTACCTGAAAAACAATGATGACTTTACTACACTGCTACATCTATCTCTGCCATCCCCAGTTCAGCTAATAAACATGTTAAGGGGGGGGCAGTAGGTGGTGGTCGTTTTGTTGTTGCTGCTGTGTTTTTATTTCCTTGGTGCTTTTGCTGTTATTTGTGATTTTGTTTTGTGTGGTGGTAGTTGTCATGTTTCATTTTCCAGAAACTACACTTGGGAATTTCCATTCCTTCCTTTAGATAGAATCCATACAACTTTATGAAGCACACAGTACCATTACTCCCCATTTTATGAGTGATGCGACAACACGGAAAAGCTAGTAAGATGTGGACCACAGCAGAGTGGCTCCGAAGCATCAACCCTTGTGTTTCAGATGGCTGTTTTCCATGTTATTTTCATCTTCTTGAAATGAATACCAAGCAGGGTGGTTTCCTTGAGGTCTGGTCCAGCTCTGAGCATCTATGAGATCCACAGTGCAAGTCTTTCCCAGAGCACAGAGGAAGTTTTCTGCAAGCATCCTATGCCAGCTTACACACCCCCACACGCACACATACACAATTTCACTCATGCATCCATCCACCCATTCATATACCTCTTGTGGTTTCAAATCCATAACAGCTATTTGGACCTGGTGCCCTATTTTGTGAGGCTTACAAGTTTAGAGGAGGGACTAAATGTCTAGTTTGTCTTTCAAGTGAAATCTCACCTCTTGCTGTTTACAGTGCTGTGTTCAGAAACACTCTGGAGTCATAGGTGTAGAGGAAAGGATGGCACTATAGATTATGATGTATCACAGATGCAGAAGAGCAGATGTGTCTTTTCTTCGTGTGTTTGTGCATGCTCATGTTTGTGTGGGCACACATGTATGTGTGCACATGTGTGAGCAAAGGCCTATCCCATATCCTATATCAACTGCCTTCAATCTATTTTTTTTTCTTTTCTTTTTATGAAGATGGAGTCTCTCCCTGGCTTGGTCTTCTGAAATAGGGTCATCTAGCTGACCAGCAAAACCTAGGGATCCTCAGACCAAAAGCTGCAGGATCTCCACAACATAGAGAGCCGTTAGGATGTCCAGGAAGAGTCTTAGTGGGGGGTCTAGTATTGAACACGTAGAGGAGGCAAGGGGCCTCAAACCAGACCAATGACTCTTCGCAATGAGTGCTTGCAAGTAGCGATGCATGGACCAAGGAGTATACGGTGTGACTTGTTGCATCGCAATGCAGCTTCCATGGGGAGATTTTTAACTTCTTCCCTTTTCTTTTCTTTTTTTTTAAATTTTATTTTCTTCATTTTTTTCTCTTGAATTTTGTTTTATTGGGGGGTGTGCAGGAGCAGAGAGCAGATGTGAGGGGATGCGACATGAATGGAATCAAGGTACATGATGTAAAAACCACATAGAATAATAAAATTTTGTTAATAAAATATCTTTAAAGACTTTTAAAGGGGTCTTCCTGTTTCCTGTCTCCATCTATCCGGTGCTGGGATGATAAGCTCATGTATGCTGCTAAGTTATATCACATGGGAACAGATTTTGTCTTCCTACCATTTTATTGGGTAAATTAATAATGGTTTGTATCAGCTAGATCACTCCCATGTGTGTTTGTAAAATATTTTATAGTGGTATTCTACACAGTTGGGCTTTGTTCTGTAACAGATACTAATGAGGGAAGGAAGAGGAAATAGCTACACCAGAAGAGGCAGGTACCCCACTGGCTGATAATGCAAAATTCCCTAATTATTCTAAGACCCATTAAGCTGCCTGGCCTACTTAGCTTCCATAAAGATGTATCTCTAAATGTTTTCATTAGTAAGACAAGGATGTGTAATGAGAAACTAACTAATTGGGCTAGGAATTAATCAATTCACACAGTTGTCTTTATGGAAAATTGTGGCAGCAGAAATCATTTTTGATAGTAAAGTCTTAAATGGCTCTAATGTTAATTATGGTCATATGGGTAATTTTCAGGTTACATTTCCATAGTCCTATAAAATCCATAACCAAGCTCTTGACTGCTGAGCTTGACCTTCTTTGCCATTTTCTGTGAATCAATTACAATTCTATAAGGAAAATCAGGATGAAGTCTATGTGCCCAGTGTTGATATTTTAGCTAAGGCAAAGGACTTATAAATTAATAATGGCTCACTTCCCCTGCAGGGATAGGCCAATCTCCATCAGCACAGTAAAGCATCTGCTAACCAAGGGCCAAATGGGCTGACACACCCACCAGCCCTTGATTCCTTTGAAATCCCGGGACTGAATGACTGTTTCCACTAGCAGACACCCTTTCTGTGACTTTATCCCTTACAGTCCAGTTCATACTCAAATGCCTTTACTATTTCCCTCCTGTTTTTACTCTGCAGTGAGGTGAATTTTCATTCCTTTATTTTTCTTTGCAATTTGCTGCCTTTCCTGTTTGGGCTTGAGTTACAGGTAACTTGGTTTACTGTCACCTAGAATTGTCTTCCATCTCCTCATTGGAAATTTTCCCAAGTCAAGGCCACTGCTTCTCTGAGCCACTGTCTTCTTACCTCTGGAATCTATGGCTTCCCAACATGACCCCACTGACCAAACAGCTAAAAATAACTTCCTCCCAGAGCCCATGGTTGAACAGAAGGTTAATTTCAGCATATTTTTAGCCCTTGAGTAAATATTAGTTTCTTCACTCCTTTGTTCCCTGTCTTCCAGCTACAAATTAATTGCTCTATTTATTCTGCAAACACAGCATTTTGTTTTAGCTTTATACTTTAGCCATAAGAGCATTTGGTTTCTTTTTTCTATATCTTAACATAGCTGTCTGTGTTGCTCTTTTCTTCTATGACAACACCTTGAGAACAAGTCTTTACCGCAGGAATGCCTGTGACCTTCCATTGCCCTGCAAAATGCAGTGATGTGTGCTAACTCTTTGAACAGCATGAGCAAAAGCAAAATTAGCTATGAGTTACTAATCAGCAAGGGGCCCTGCATACAGAAAGCACCGAGTGGGAAAAAGTGGCGTAATTTGATCAAAAGACAAACAACATTTGACACTCTGTCCTTTCGATGGTTGGTCTTGACTGCGCGTGAATTCTGTCCCCTTGACAGAATTTAGAAGCACCTTAAACACACCTCTGGAAGGATTTGCAGGACGTTCTCAGAAAGGCTTTGTTGAGGGGTAAGCCTGATGATACTGCAAGATCCTTAACGTTTGCTCTTTTTCCTATCCCAGCCCATATAACCTCAAATCGCGTACCATACTAGGATCAGAGAAGTGATGCTAAGCACATTACGTAGATCATTCAGTTCTCTTATGAGTCCTATGCTGTGCGCAGCATAACTGCCACCAGATTTTAGTGAAGAAACAGAGGCATACGAGAATAAGAGTCGTGTAACAAAGAAACACCCGGGCTGGATGGGATCCAAAACTATACATGCCCATGCGCTTCCTCCTATAAATGCCCAGAAAGACCAACCTGCCAAAAGCTACAGCAAATTCCTTTCCAGTTTAGGAGCTAAGATGTACAAGGTCACGTAAAAGTAGCTGCTGAGCAATAAAGGGGAAGGTGCTTAGAATTCGGCTCCTGCTCAAGTCTTGGTTCTTATTTTCAGTCCTATAATCACAGGCAGGTTGAATAAAATGAAGATGATAATACTGTTTAGCATATAGAATTTCTTTCTAGGCTTAAATGGTAAACTACAGTGAAAGCTGAAATGTATGTTGTAAAGATACCATGTGCATGAGTTAGTAACAGCAAAGAAAAGGCGTGATTCCTGAAGTCTTGAGGAGAGGCGGTAGGATTTTGCAGAGGACTGGAACATTGCAATTGCAAGCTAGAATCGAGCAAATTTATCCACATCAGGGCATGTCGTGTCTACACTGAGATTCTGTAAGCGTTTTCATTGCTTTTAGGAAGGTCTAACATCTAAAGCTGTCCTACAGAGCAATGCCATATCTGTATTTCAAGATCAGCCATGAAAGGTAATGATGAGAGGTATGGGAGTGAAAGGAACTATCATTCTATAAAATCATTTTCATTTTTAGCATTAGGCAGATCCAATGGCCATTGCAGCAGTCTTTACTGAGATCTGGTCTGCTTGATACTCTGAATACTTTTTAAAAACTGATTTACTCTTTGGCAATTTTATTTTTTTTAACTTTTTATTTAAACTAGTAACAAGCTTGTTTTATATGTCAATCTCAGTTCCCTCTCCCTCCCCTCCTCCCCTGACCCCCACCAACCCCCTATCCTGTCCCCTTTCTGCTCCCCAGGGAGGGTAAGACCTTCCATGGGGGATCTTCAAAGTCTGTCACATCATTTGGAGCAGGGCCTAGGCCCTCCCCCATGTGTCTAGACTATGAAAGCATTCTTTGATGTGGAGTGGGCTCCCGAAGTCCACTCGTACACCAGGGATAAGTTTGGAAACTTTATACATTTCTATAAAGCAATCTTGTAACATCCATCCCTCTAGTCTCTTTTATCCTCCTCCTACCCCACCAAGCGCCAGCCATCCTCTAGACAAGAACCCTCCCCATTTTCAGGTCTTTTCATTTTTATTTTTTATTTTGCTTT